TAGGCCCTCATACCGAGGAATTTCTTGTGGATTAATCTGGAGGAAAGATGGAAATAGCTCTTTTTCACTCTGAATACCACAGAGCAAGACATCTGAGAGCTGAAGAAGGGAAATCCTGATTGTGCTTCAGAACAATATTTGGATGGCCTTTGAAACAGGGATGCTTCTTTTGTGGATGAAGTTTTCATTCTCTAATAGCCATCACTTGAAATGCACGGAGTGTTATCCCAGGAAAAGCATCCCTCTGTCAGCTGGGATGTGTAAATATAAATAAAACTATCAGCCTCCCCCGCTCCACCCACATGCACCATGGTTCTCTACACCCAGAGACACAAGCAAATGCCCACCACTCCTGCAGACGTGTCTACAAATATCATGAGCCCTGGCAGAAGGACTACCAGTGGCAGGAAAGAAAGCTATTCACGTTGCAAGAATGTATTTTGCTATATGCATCTCGTTGTATGCAGGGGCAGAGCTTGGGGCATTAGACCGGGTCTCCAATGGCAGTAATGGGAGGAAACGGTGCCATTCTGTGTCCAAATAAAACAGGCCTGGAAAAGAAATGTTACCGAGGGTGTAGAAGGATTAGAACATGCCTCACTTCAACACTTTTCTGTTTGGCTCTAAAAGCATTGTGGAATCGAGGCAAGAAGTTGGGGTGAGCCTTGCAAGAGAAGCCCTTGGTCCACTGAGGACCTTTTCACAGTGAGGTCAACTAATTGCCCACATGAAGGCTTTAAAGGCCCAGTGCATGCCAATTGGAGATGCTGTGTGGGATTTTGATCTGCAACCGTCCCGTGAGACAGCTCATTCATTGATTAAAGGGGGAACTACAAGGGTTTTGTTGCACCTTAGCTGCTTCTGTCTCAATAAGGTGTCCCAAGAATGACTGATGCTTCTCTCAACCATTTTTCTCAGTAAGACAGAGCCATCCATTGCTAGCTGGCATGTATCACCCAAGAATCTCCCAAGATTCAGTTCTGGCCTCCACTAAGGAAGACTAGCCAGTGCTGCTAGTCTGCTCCTGTGATCCAGAACGGAAGAAAATCACCCTCTGCAGGGACAAGTCTGTTCTCAGAGATGGCCCTTCTCCCTGCAGGTCACTCGCTCCTATCTCCAGATGAACATTTACCTCTGGGATCTTGTAGGCACCTATCAAGGCTGCAGTGTCTGGTGAAGTTGTGGAGTCAACATCCTGGATGATGGAGATGAGGCGCCCCTGCTTGTCACATCTATAATTGGGAATCGTTTTCCCCCGTGTGGAAAGCAGGGCAAGGCTGTTGCGATGCACTACTCTGACCAGGTCCCTGTGCTCATACATGCGTAAGCCAAGCGTCAAGTTGGGAAGGAGGGCTGGATCCCTGTTGAGCTCAGTGATGGCGAACACAAACGCCAGAATGTGCTGGTAGTTCCTGCTGAGTGACCTGTCGTCATGAGAACAATGTCAGGACACAGGTGAAGACAAGAATGACCGAGCCATCCTGGTGGGAGCTATATTAGGAAAAAGACGAGGAGAAGCACAGAACAGGCACCATTTTTGCTTCAAGCAATGTGTCGGGTTCCCTTCCTGAGGGTGCTTTACCCGGGAGAACTCTGAATGGACACACTTTATTGAACTTAATTCATTGATTTGTCAGAGCAAACCACAGGGAAGGATGTAGGAGCCTCCCAGATCAGAGCAGAGGCGTTCCCTAGAGCATAGCAACAGGCTTCAACCTTGTTCAGACACCGGGATTTTGGGGAACCCACACTGAAGAGGGAAACACAAGAGCCTCCCTTCCTCTCCCAATCAATGTACAAACTTTTAGTAGACTGTAACCTTTACTTAGAGATCAGCCTGGATAGCCCCCCATAGTCTACCCTCCAGTAATTCACCTGAACCTTTTCCAAATACATTTCAATCCATGAGTCATCACCGCATTCCAAACTCTCTGGAAAGCACAGCCAGCTTCTGCTGAAATAAGCTGAGCAACGATCCAGAGCTTGTGAAGGGAAGGACCACGGGATAGACTGGGGGCCTTCCTTCCCATGCAGGGGTGTCAAGATCAATCCTGGCATCTCCAGCTAGGGCTTGAAGACGCCCCCTCAAATCCCCAGACTGCAGCTCCCTCTCTGTGCAGGCACAGTGAATTCGAGTGCACTGAAGCAACGAGAGGATGGGAAACTGCTTCTGACCAAGCCTGCAATGTCTAGAATTTTTTAAGTTTACCTGTATGACCAAGGAACTCCCTCAAATGAAGAATCTCCCAGGCTTTGCCCTTGGCAAGGATAGGAAATGGGGGGGGGGGCAGGCAAGAGAGAGCGAGAGATCCCACTACATTCCCATGGATGCGCTGCTATATACTGACCTATTTATTTATTTGTACCTTGTCATTTATGAGATGTCCCAGGATGGCTTACAACAATTAATAAATCACAACTAAGTACAATACCAAGCATGACACTGTTAAACCATAATATAATAATTAAATATATTTAATGAAATCTTAAAATAAGGGGCGCATAAAAATAAAATAAAATTAAAAAAAAAAAACCTTGAGAGAATTGCCTACCTAACCCAGCATGGTAATGCTGTTCAGAACAGCTCTTGTTGCAGAGCCATGAGGATTAGCACCATTTTGCCAAAAGTGCAAGGCTGAACCGCACACACTGGCATACAAGGAAGGTGACTCATTGACACCTGAACAGGAGAGGCTGAACTAGATGGACTGAGCTTCTCTCTGCAATGAAGAAGGTCCATTTCCATGTCAGAGGAATTGCCCCATCTGGTACCCTGGAGAATATTTTAGGCTAGATGACAAAAATTATGCAGGAACATTGAGTTTTAGTGTGAGTGGGGAAAGGATCTGTTTTTATGGAAGAAGAGCAGGAAGAGTATCTGCGGACAGAGCTTCTCTTTGCTTCCCCTTTCGGCCAGGTCTTCCTTGACAATGAAGCGACTCTCTTATTCTTGAACTTGCTCTTTATTTCAGAATATTTGATGTGCATTTCATAAGTGTTACTCCATACAATATGTATACTGATGCCTGACTACTAAATTTTATCTCAGCCCCATTAATTCTCAGAGCCCCTCTTTGCGCAGCAGTGATGCCTGCCCAGAGACTCCTGCGTGCAAAAGGCTCCCATCAGCAGTCTGCAATTGCCCAGCACATGCTGCTGTGGGGATCTGCAGATTTGCCCAGGATCCATCTGGGAATGCTGGGTATTGTGGGTCCAATGACATCTTTGGGTTCAAAGATGGGAGGGAGCAGGACCCACACCAGGGATTTCTTTATTCTGGGTGTGGCCTTCAGGCTGGAATCAAATGCATTCTGTGCTACCTTGACAGATCCAGTAGTCAGAAAGGGGTGAGAGCCACTCTTGGAGCTCAAGTGATCTGCAAGCAGATGAAGCAAATCTGAAAAGGGGGAGATCTCAGAGCAGAGCCCCACCTTCCCGTCCCTGCCTCGGAAGGAGCCTGCTTGGGGCAGGGCTGGCAGGACAGCCTTTTCTCTCACAGGGATTGTCAACAGGAGAACAAACCGTTGGGTCCCTCTCGCTCGGCTGCTTGCCCAGCACCCCTCAGGATGAGACACGTGAAGAAACCCCAACTCTGGCTTCCATTTAGGCCAAGGGCCCTCCTGGCAAGGCTCTGAGAATCTCATACTCAACATGCCCTCTTGAATACTGCTCCCTGATGCCCCTCCCAGAAGTGAACCCTTTGGTGTGGAAGCAAACACGCACACATGCAGCCCAGATCGCTTTGAGGGAGACCTACAATGCATTAGCACGCCATCTCATTCGAGGCGATGCATGAAACTCTTCTTTTTGTGTATAGGAATATCTGCCGAACAGTAAATTTCCACCAACAATCAGCTCTCCCGCTCTGTAACAGTCTGGTTGCTTTATAAATGGCTGGGTCACCGAACAGCTTCTCCTCAGCATCCTCTGAGTGGCCGGAGGCAGGCGCCAAAGCAGCAACAAGAGTAGGAAAGTCAGCGCTGGAAGAGGGAGGCTCTCCTTCCTCGGTTAGCCAGAAGCAGGGAAGAGCGGGCCTTGCAGCCTTGCCGGGAGCCGTGAATCTCTGGAGGAGATGTGCAGGTAGCCAGACCTCAGATGCAGCTGCAGCCCACACCAGAGAGCTTGGGGCACATTCATATTCAGCGTGCTTTCTCGGGGATTTCTTTGTTATTGACATACTGGGTGGAAACCCTTGTGGAATTCTGCAAGAACTTTCCCTAATTCTAGTACTAAGGAGGGCCCGAGAGGCCTGGAGGCAGAACAAGGGGTTTGCATCACTCTTACCTTCTGGGTGAACCTGGATAAGAAGTAATTTCAGGAAAGCTGAGGTCCTATGTATAGACCTGTCAAAACAAGAGGAAGATCAGCTGCATAAGGACACAGGCTCAGTAACAGAAATCCACGTTTGCATGTTTGGGCATTTTTATCCCCAGAGACTTAAGCAAAAAAGGCTGAATTATGGTGCTTTTTATTTCAAACATTACCAATGAAACTACCACAGAAATACTTTATTAAGTTGCAAAAATGGTTGGGAAAAGTCAAGAGTCACCAAAGCATGGTATATCACCAAGCTGCTATGGGTGGCTAGGAGAACCAGCCCAGGATTTTAGTTGTGCCAACTGTGTAAAGTCTTCAGCATAACTTGGATGGAAATAGGCCATCCCTGAGAATTTTTGCAATTATTTCTTTTTGTTCAAAATGGGTAGAAAGAGAGCTGCATCACTAATTTTTTTAATTAATTGTATAGATTTGGAATAAAGGACACAAATTTTAAACTCCCAAAATTTCACCCCTTAATCCTCTCTTGACCCATCCTGTTTTTCCATCTTGATAGCTCAGTTGTCTTCTCAGGACAATGCTTGGCATAAACTGCCAGGCTCCTTTCCAAAAGGTTTGTGTTTAACAGGATGACAACTTCCTAAAAGGACTTCCTTTGCCAAAAACTTCTTTCTCCTTGTACAAGAGTCAGGGCAAATTGCCCTTTGGAATTTCCTGATCTCACAGTTATATCACTTAAAGAGTTTTTAAAATGTATATTATGATGACTTTGCCAACTGGGAAACTTCAGAAGTATGCCCAGCAACATGGCATTTCTACTGAAAATATTCCTACATAAAATAGCAATTCTTTCCCTTGTTTACAGTCATCCCTGGGGAGGATCCCCCAATGTTGGAAGTATCTGTAGAGGTGGAGAACATCCCTGCTGCGCAACGCTCACATCCGTAGCAGCAGACAGGCTTCCCCTCTGGAACTCTTCACCAGTGCCCTGGGGAGAACACTCCACGCACCTCCCAGGTGGGATATTCCCTAGGAGTAAAAGAGACATCCAGTTTAGGGGGAACAGACTTGACAGAACTCTGAATCATTCCCCAGACATTCCTTATCTTGATCCTTGCATTCCTGTGGGGACTGAAGCAAAGTGGTGCTCTCAAAACACTCTAAGGTTGAGCAGGATGTTTGGGAGATGCATGCATCTGTGCATCTCAATGCATCTTGCCCAGCCTTGCCTGCTCCAACTGAGAGGTCCTCTCCAGGGCATCAGGCTTGTAGCTTCTTTTTTGACTTACCTGGAGACTGAAGGGACCCAGTCTGGGAGTTTTGGTGTGCAAGGGTGTCCTTGACTTGGTCTTGACCAATAGAGAGGAGCTGGTAGATTAAGTACAGATTAGGGGAGCTCTGGATGCGAGCAATCACTCCATCCTTTGCTTTGAGATCAGGGGACTGCGGACGTGCAGCAGGTCGAGCACTAGAAGCTGGGACTTCAAGAGGGCCAACTTTGGCCAACTGAAGGCCAGACTGGGGAAAGTCTCCTGGGATGGGTTGCTGGAAGGCAAGCGAGTTGCGGAGGGGTGGCTGGCACTCAAAAGGGAGGTTTTGGAGGCGCAAGCCTTGACGATACCTCTAGTCAGTAAGGTGGGGAGGCGGAGGAGAGCGCCGCCATGGATGAGAAAGGAGGTGGTTAGAGGGATTAGACGCAAGAGGAACCTCCGTAGGAAATGGGGACTGGGGCAGGTAGACAAAAGGGTATACCGGGAGAAGGAGGCCCGTTGCAGAAGGATTCTTCGCAAGGCTAAGGCTGATTACGAGCTGAGACTTGCCAAGAATATCAAGAGCAACAAAAAGGGCTTCTTGCAGCATGTAAATAGGAAGAGGAAGGGGAGACAAGTGTGGGACCACTAAATAAGGAGGAAGGAGATCCAGTGACTGATGCGAGGGAACAGGCACAGAGGCTAAATGACTATTTTGCCTCTGTGTTCTCCCCAAAGCAGGACGGGGAAATCCACATAGGAGATTAGATGAAGCTGGGGACTTAGGGGCACAGATTAGAGTCACCCTCCTAGAGTCGAGGGGCTCCTCAGGGCATTGGACATTACAAAGGCCAGGCCATGCCCGGCCCTGACAGGTTACACCCAAGAGTACTTGGAGAGTTGGCAGGGGTTCTCTCATGCCTGCTGGCCTCCATTTTTGAGGCCTCGTGGAGAATGGGTGAAGTTCCAGAGGACTGGGGGGTGGCATCAGTGGTCCCAATTTTCAAAAAGGGTAGTAGACGGGACATGGGGAATTACAGACCTGTTAGCCTTATGTCCATTGTAGGAAAAATAATGGAAAGGCTCCTAATAGAGAGAGATCTAGTGATGCTGGATAGGGAAGGGAGGCTGGCAGCCACACAACATGGCTTCCGCAAAAGCAGGTCCTGCCAGACAAACCTTGTGGGATTCTATGACAAGGTTTCGAGGTGGCTAGATGGAGGGGATGAAGTGGATGTGGTTTACCTGGATTTCAGCAAGGCCTTTGACAAAGTGCCCCATGATATCCTGGTGGAGCAACTGAGGAGTTTTGGGATACACCAAAGCACTGTCCGGGGGATTAGGGCATGGTTGACTGACCGAAAGCTGAGGGTAACCATTAGTGAGGAATCATCGAGATGGTGGCCAGTGACAAGCGGGGTCCTCCAGGGCTCAGTCCTGGGACCGATCCTGTTTAATTTTTAATCAGTGACATGCAAGAAGGGTAAACAGGCTGCTGATCAAATTTGCAGACAATACTGAAACTGGAGCAGTGGCCACAACTGAGGAGCAGGTACTCCAGATCCAAAAGGATCTGGATAGACTATGGAAGTGGGCAGGAGACAACAGGATGGCATTCAATGTGGATAAGTGCAAGGTCTTGCACCTGGGGATAGGAATATGTGTCCTAAGTACAGGTTAGGTGACAAGTGACTGGAGAGCAGCACTTGTGGAAGGGACCTCGGGGTGTTGGTTGACTGCAGGCTAAACATGAGTCAGCAGTTCATCAAGAGGGCGAACACCACCCTTGGTTGCATAGCCAGAAGTGTGGCTTCTAGATTGAGAGAGGTATTACTACCACTCTATCTGACTCTGGACTGGAGACCTGTTCTCTCCTGCAGAGGGAGGTAGGACGCGCTCCAATAAAGCAAAGCTCAGGGAGCCAAGGTTCCTTTTAGAAGCCAGGAAGCACTTCCTGATTGTTAGGACCCCGAGGATGTGGAACGGGCTTCTACGAGAGGTCGTTGAGGCCCCATCAGTGAGCGTGTTCAAAAATAGGCTAGACATGCACATGGTAGGCATGTTGTGAGCGAAGCCAGCTGGAGCCAAGGGTCAGACTAGATGGCCCGGGAGGCCCTTTCTGACTCTCTCTGCCTTCCTCTGCAGGGGAGAAAGGTGTCTACCCATCTCCATTTGACACCCCCTCACGTACCTGTATGTCACCAACATACTCCCTCTGACTCTCCTCTTGTCCGGGCTGAAGAGACCCAGTTTCCTCAGTCTCTCCTCATACCCCATCCCTGCAAACCGGCCACCAACCTTGTGGCCCTATGCTGCACTGACTCTAACCTGGCTATATCCTTTCTGTAATGAGGGGCCCAGAACTGAGCACGATACTCCAGTTGTAGGCGCACCAGAGTCGTATAGAGTGGTAGTAATACCTCATCACCCTGAAACCATGTACGTGAGCCACAATTTATAAAAACTCTGCATATGCTCTGGAAAGTCATATCCCATTTGGATACTGGCTACCCGACAGTGCTGTTGCTTTTTTCTTCTTCAGAGGACTTCCTGGGCAACCTGCCAATAAACTGCGGAAACTGAGTAGGGCATCTTCCACTGAAGCTAAACGTACATTCTCCCTGTCCTGCTCATCAGGATTCCCCCCCCAACCCCCCACATACAGCTTTTCTACTTCCAAGCAGAAAGGAGACTTCCCAGGAGCCTTTACTGTGGAAAGATGGTCCTCCAGGCTGGCCTGTTGCTACAAAAGGAGGACTTCAGTGTATGCCAGTGCTGGAGTTGCCCTAATACAACCTACAAGTTTTATATTTTGGAATGTAGAAAGCTTTGCCTGTTACCTTTCACCCCCTGCCCCAAATCTGCAGGGTTCCCCCCACCCCACCTCCATGTTGCTTCAGAAGGAAAAGAAGAGGATACCCAGAGCACCAGGATATCCAGATAAATCACCTGCTGGCTAGTCACTCTCATGCAACTAGTTTGAACATTCAAATCCTGGGCCAGCATTTCTTTGCCTCTCTGGAGTTTCCTACCTCAGAGTTTAAAAAGTAAACACTGAATCTTGTTAAATTCTGTCATTTCTTCTCTGTTACTCAAGGTCTCAATGCATCATGATGGTTTCTTGATGTCTCTGATGATTTCATGATGCTTCTATATTGCAATATTGGGCTTCCATATTGCTTTTGCATATCACCCATTCAAACTCTCCTCCCTCCCTGCAAAGTTTACATGACACCAACTCCATAAAACACTCTGCGTACGTTCTGCTCCTTGTAAGTTGACTTAAATTGGCTACTCCTCTGTGCTGTTGTAACTAAGGAATGTCTGTTTGCTGACAAGGAAGTGATGGATGCTTGAATGAATTATCCTTTTTGGATCCGGCCATTCATTGTTTGCAGGTCTGAAATGCTGATAGATTTCACAATGAAGGTGGGATCTAAGGGATCCCTTGCTTTTGCTCTGCTTCTCCCTAAACTGTATCAATTTCTTTGTCTAGTTTGGTACTGATCAAGATTAAGGAATTCCCAGGAAATGACATTTGAAATTTGTCCAAATGCTATTATGTACAATAACTTGTCCCCTTAATCCTGTTATTATCAAAGGATCCTCATGCAATAACATTACACAAGAGAACAGACCTGATATTTCTTATATAGTAGCCATCTTTGTGGGAATTTCAACAATTCCTGTGGTGAGAAAAGTTTTTTTTTCCTGTTGTTTTATTCAGGTGCCAAGTAATGAACAAAAATACACCAAATCATTAAATGTTTCAATCATGTTTTTGTTATGAGATGGCCTCTGCTATTGAGACTGGGCCTCAAGACAATGATGTAGCATTTAGGGAGAAAGATGCATCCCAGGAGGCCAGCCCCAGAGGCCAAGATGGAGAAGACCTCCACGGCCACTGCATACTTCCCCTTGGTGCTCAGGTAGGTGGGCATGAAGGAGACCCACACACTGCAGAAGACCAGCATGCTGAAGGTGATGAACCTGGCTTCGTTGAAGCTGTCGGGCAGCTTCCTGGCCAGGAAAGCCACCAGGAAGCTGAGAAGAGCCAGGAAGCCCATGTAAGCCAGGACAGTGTAAAACATGGTGATGGAGCCTTCGATGCATTCCACAATGATCTCACCAGAGAGAGAATGAAAGTCCAGATTTATGAAAGGGGGAGAGGTCAGCAACCAAACAACACAGAGCACAGCTTGGATGAGGGGACAGACCAGCACAATGGAGGTCGTCAGTGGCCTCCTCAAGAGCTGACTTGCCATGTTTCCTGGTTTGGTGGCCATGAAGACCAAGACCACTGTGATAGTTTTTGCCAAAACACAAGAAACTGCAAGAGAGAAGGTGATGCCAAAAGCTGCTTTTTGGAGAAGACAGGTGACCTTTGTGGGTTGACCGATGAAGAGGAAGGAGCAGAGGAAGCAGAGCAGGAGAGAGATGAGGAGGGCATAGCTGAGGTCTCGGTTGTTGGCTTTGACAATGGGTGTGCCATGATATTTAATGAGTGTTGCCAACACAGCAGATGTGCTGAGAAAGAGGAAAACAACAAGAGAAACTAAAAGAATTCCAAGTGTCTCTTCATGGGAAAGGAAGTGGATCTTCTTGGGGACGCACCAGTTGTGGTTTTTGTTTGGGTGCTGATCTTGTGGGCATGGAGCACAGTGAGCTGCATCTGAAAGGAGCAATAGCTGTTAAACCATCTCAACCAGGCTACAGAAAATCTTTCTCTGGGGGCAACTCCCACCCTCAAACTAAGATGTAGACATCTCTTTCCCCTGGCTTAATCTGCACTTTTTAATTCAGCTTTGAGAAGTAGGACATAAGAATAAAAAAATTAAGAATGTTCCCTCCCCACAAACTTGTTTAATGTTCCTGTTCAGTCTTTTCTTATGAAGACCAGTCTTCATCTGAAAATGAAAAGACGGAAGTGCTAAAATCTTTCCTATGCAGCATTATCTTAATTTACCCGCAAACTATAGTAAGCTATTAAGCAAAATTTCTGTTCATATTGTGCACTTATTTGAGGTTTGTTTGTGCTGAAGCTGGAGACTCAACAGCAGGAACAACTACAAAAAAGAAGCGATAACACGGGGACCCCCAAGTTTCATATTTAGGTTTCATGCAAAGGAAAGCAAGTGAGAAACATGTTCTGGATAAGGGAGTGGATGGAAGAATGGAAAAGATTTGTATATGCCCAAATTCATACGTTGCTGGCCCAGTGTTGTATTATTTACAAAGAGCATACTTTCTGGAAATGTTGAACACTTTGTGAACCAGAAAAGCACAAAGGTCCGCAATATAGAGCAGGGATAATACCTCCCAGAACAATGAATTCTCCTTTCCTTGAGGTTCACCTGGGCTACACACCCCTCTTCTTTCTTTTCCTTCTGCATTTTTGGTTCTTATTGTTTGAGATACCTGTAGAGGTGGAGAACATCCCTGCTGCGCAGCGTTCACACGTGTAGCAACAAACTGGCTTCCCCTCTGGGACTCTTGTCCAGTGTCCTGGAATGCACCTCTTCACGCACCTTGCGTCAGGCATTGCCTAATGGTGAAAGAAAGAAACACTTCAACCTATTCAGAAGAGAGAAACGCACTGAAGGGCTACTCAACAGACTTTCATTCAACTGGAGGCTTGCACTGATTAGCAGATCGGGTCACCTGCCTGAGGACAATGAAAACGGAGGCTGCTATTAAATCCCTTCTGAAGTAGAACCAGGATCGTTGGAGGCCATCCTCTGCTGGATCCAAAGCTACGCTCATCTCGCCCAATCTTGCCTATCACAGGCAATATTCTGTTTTAGACTTTTCTCAGGAATCCCGTGAAAGAACTTTTGGATTTTTGGTGAGGAAACCTTGTCCTTTGCAAGTGGACACTGACACCCCACTTCCCCACAGTCGGTGTGACTTTGGTCCCAAAAAGAAGCACACCATCTTTTCTGGAAGAGTAGAATTGTGACATGCCTCTGCCTCCATGACCCGTATGATTCACAAGAGCCCCACCTTTGTGGCCCACAAGATTGCTGCAGAGTTGATGGAGAAGTCCTGGCCTGCAGGAGCACCATGATCCACCCATCCAATCTTCATAGGATACAAAGTTCCATTTGGAGACATGCTCCAGTTCAGGATCTCATATCTCTTGTCCTTTTTGGTGAAAGAGACTTCCTCCCCAGCGCTGTTGTTAAACCGGACATTCCTCAGGGGATCAAATAGCTGAAAAGGCAGAAATTTTTGAAAAAGGACCACTGAGCTTGTGGAAGTGCCTTCCAAGGGACTCTTTCTCCCATCAAATTAAGATAACATTATTTCCTTCCTTATCTATTGTCAACTTTAATTCTTAGATGCAGTCCATTGTGGAGGCTTCTGCTCAGGTAAGCTTATGCACACGATTGGGTGTCTTTGTCCCATGTCCCCTTCCCTGGATCATGACATGCGAGCTGGAAAGTGTTTACTCTCAGCAGCCAGGAGTCCCACATACGGCTTCTCCACCTGTGGGCAAGCAGGATGATTCAGAGTGGGAAGGGCCACTCTTGCTTGCTGTCAACTTATATGAGATGGGGGAATAAGCATCTGGGGAGGGCTTTCTTGGGACTCCCTTTCCAATGAGCACTATGGCAAACCCACCCGTTTTCAGACTCTGCTAGGCTCTGCTCACTTTTGGCTGCTCATTCAGGGCAATTGTATCCATGCGGATAAATCCACATGGAACGTTTGTCATGATTGCCCTAAATGAGCCTCCTTGCCAAGCATCCTTCCCCTCCAGGTATGGTGGTTGCTGGAGAAACCACCAAGGCACCTCTGCTAAGTTCATGCAGTCTGGACGTGGACATTACCTGCCATGGCCGAATATTCAGAAGCCACTTGCCTTTCCTCATTCGTGAATATTTCATTGCTGAAGAGGCCAGGGCATGTAGTGCATGAGCCGTAGAATAGGCAGCATTGTAGATGCCGTAGCTGTGGCTGGACATGCCCAGGTTGAACTGGAATTCCACTGGATCTTTCTGCATCTCCCTCCCTGTGCACCATTTCTGTGATGGTGGAAGAGGGTTTCCTGGTCTTTGAAACTGACACTCAAATGCCTTTTCCCACCACTTATGAAGAAAGATATCACCTTGAGGGTGGAGTGGATCTAACGCCAGGAGAAAAGACTTGAATCCTGGAACATCCCTTGTGTGAGCTCTGAAGTGCAAGGCTCCATGAAGCGTCTTTAAGTTTGTTCTCAACTCAGTTTGTGTGCTTGCTTCAACTTCTGAATGGGAGGTCAGGATCCAAACCTTCCAAAATGCTATTTTAGATCTTTTCTCATGATTAAATAACCGCAAAGTGACTTGTCCTATTGCTGTGTTTTCTCCAAAGAAAACTATGACTTCTCCTTCTGTCCAAGAATGAGGAATGTATCCAGTTTCAATTTCATGGAATTGTGCAGAATCAATTGTTGAGAACCTTTCAGTGAAGGCCACACAGAGGTCCTTTTGCTGCATCAGGGGGGTCACTTCCTGGAGGAAATGCTCGCCATGGTCATTGCTCTGAACAAGCAGCCCAATCCAGTTCCAGTGGAAATGAAGCAGCAGCCAGACAAGGCCCTCATACCGAGGCACTTGTCGGGGATTACTCTAGAAGAAAGATAGAAAAAGTCTTTGAGCTGAATAAAAGAAATGCTGATCATGCTTCATAGAAATATTTGGTTGCATTTTGAAAAGGATGCTTCTTTTATGCAGAACAATTTCATCCTCTAGTAGGCAGGATTTGAACTGCATGGAGCAGAATCCCAAGAATGTTGTTGCTCTTCGTGCTGCTATGTATAAGTATAAACAAAAGCTCCCAGTTTCCCCCTGCTCCATCCCCATGTATCCCAGCAAGAGTCCCAAGGAAATGCCCACCCCTGAGACAGATGTGTCTACACACTTCAGGACTGATATGGACCATTCATTGGCAGAAGACTACCCATGGCAGGAAAGAGAGATATTCACATTCCAAGGGTGTATCTCGCTGTATACATCTGCAGAGCTTTGGGGCTTTAGGGCTGATCTTTACAGGCAGTATTAAGTGGAAATGCTTCCATTCCGTGTACACATAAAACAGGGCACAAAAAATAGGGGCAAATGCTACAGAGGCTTTGTTAGAATCAGAAAGTCTCTCACTTCATGCTTGGATCTAAAAGCATGAGGCTGAAACTCAAGGGATGGAAACAAGAACTTGGGCTGAGCCCTGCAGGGGTAGTCCCAGGTCCACTGAGGACTGTTTTACACACAGGCTAACTGACCACAGCAACATGCAAGACATCTGCCAAAGCATGGCTGCCATTACATTGCTCTCCCTCAGCATGACAATTTTGATATTGCCAGAGATTACTTCAGACTATTTATCTACTTTATTTATTATGGTAGTTACTTCCCAGTTTCTTTTGTCCAAGAAATTGAAGGTAACTTATACAATTCTTCCTCTCCTCTCCATCATATCCTTCTAACAACAATCCTCTGATGTAGGTTGGGCTGAGAGTCAGTGTTCGGTCCAACATCACCTGGGGAAGTCTTGGTCAGAATGGGGACTAGAACCCAGACTGCCAAAGTTTCAGCCCCACACTCTTAACACACTCAACCACGACCCCGCCCCAGCTCTCTTGAGGACACAGAGCCTTTGATGGCCCAGGACGTTCCTTTATGAGATGCTGCAAGGGATTTTGGCCTGCAGCCATCCCTGTGAGGCAGCTCGTGTCTTGATGCCAGGATGAGCATTTTCTAGCACCGTATTCATTTCTGTGTCCCAAGAATGCCTGATATTTCTCTCAGTTGTTCATCTCACTAAAACGGACTGATTGTTAGCCGGGATTTCTCCCCCAAGACTCTCCTGAGATTCATTCCTAGCCTCCACTAAGGTGATCTTGTGGCATTCTCTCCAGGTGAGAAGGCCCCCTCCCCTGTCATCGATATTCAAGGAAAAGCAACTGCTGCAGGGACAAATATCTTTCCAGAGAAGGTTCTTTACTTACAGGTCACTCACACCTATCTACAGATTTATTTATTTATTTTCACATACGTATATGCCTCCTATAACAGACAGAATGGCCTTACTGGGTGGCTTACACAATAAATGCACGGATGACTGAATTTACCTCTGGGATCTTGAAGATGTACATTAAGTTCGCAATGTCTGATGGAGATTTGGAGTCAAAATCCTTGATAACAGAGAGTAGTTGGTCTTGCCTGTCACATTTATAATTAGGAATTGTTCTCTCCCGTGCAAAGAGCAGGTTGAGGTTGTTCTCATGCATTACTCTGGCCAGGTCCCTGTGCTCATAGATGTGAAAGCCAAGTGTCATGTTGGGAAGGAGAAAAGGATCCTTGTTGATCTTAGCGATGGCAAACACCAAAGCCTGGATGTGCTGGTAGTTCCTGATTATCGATCTGTCATGGTGGGAACAATATCAGGACAAGGGTGAGGAGCAGCACACACTGGATGAACTTTTCTGCTTCCAGAAAAAGTATGCCAGTATCCCTTTCAAAAGGCTGACTCTCCCCTTAACTGAGACTGAACACCTTTATTGCATCAGCTACTTCACTAATTTCTGACTCAAAAACAGCCCCCTTTCCAGTCTGCCCTCCAGGGATATCTTCTTTTCTCCGCATGTAGCTAGATAGAATGGAACCTTTTCTTAGAGATCAGGCTAGCACTTCCCCTCTCCTTCCATAGTCTGCCCTTCAGGAATTTACCTGAGCCTTTCCCTAGCAAACTTCAATCCAGAAAGCGAAGTTAGCTTTCGCACAATGATCCAGACCTCATCAGGGGAAGGACCACTGGGGGCTCTGCATCCCAAGATTTGGGGTCAGGATGAATCCTGGAATCCTTGGGGAGTGGGGGCACTTGGGAAGACTCCCTCAGACCACTGGACTGTGACTCCACCTTGATGCAGGCACAGTGAATTGGAGAGCACTAAAGCAATGAGATGATGTAAAATATCTTCAGATCAAGCCTTCTATGCTAGAAATCCTAGTCCACATGGACTGAAGGAATTTTTTTCTTTTTATGATTACTGAAAAACCCTTTCAGAGTAATCCAGAGAGAGCCGGGGGGGGGGGGGAGGAAAGAGAGAGAGAATCACACTGCATTTCTGGAGAAGCCCTACTAGATAGTGACCTTGTGAGGACTGCCTACCAAACCCATCTGGGTGATGCTGTTTAAATTAACTCTTTATGCAAGGCCAGGAAAACTAGCAATATGTGTTTGTTTTCACCACAGCACCCAGGGAGAATGAGCTTTACAAACTCTCGCATCCGGGGAAGGTGAATGCCTGACACCCGTAGCAGAAGATGAACTGCATGAACTGAGGTTCTCTCTGCAAAGAAGGCTGCCTCTCCTAATTTTCTTTGGATCCATTTCCAGGTAGCTACAGAAGAGATTCCCTTTCATGGATCACTGCATGGTTTAGGACAGGAGAGCCTGAAAGAATGTTCTCCATGGGGTTGTGATGGGTTGGGCATGACTTTGTTACTAAACAACAACAAAGAGGAGTTTCACTCTGTTGTTGTCTAGAGCATATTATGCAGCACAATTACTTTTTAAAGTAGTGGGGAGATTGCTGGGTAAAGGACCTGAGTTTATTGAAGGAGCAGAGCCAAAAATGTAACTGAGAACTGAGCTTTTCTTTGTTTCCCCTTTTTGGAACCCCTTGGGAAAGTAATCAACTCTGACTTTCCTGAAATTATTCACCATTTTTGGATTTTGGAGAAGTTCTGGGCAAGGATTACTCCATGCAATAAATTTACAGCTGACTTTTAAGTTCTCAGTCCCTATTCTCAGAGCCCATCTCGGGCAACTGTAAAAACCACACAAGTGCTATTGCATGGAAAAGCCTCTCATTGTGAGCCGTCCAGAGATACAGAGTGATTGGAAGGGCTAGAAGTATCCCAAAAAATTAATAAATCTGCATCCAGTTTTGAGCACCTCCAGGTTGGAGCCCTTCAGGTGGGAAGGAGCAGGTCTCCAGCTCATCTGCTTCAATTCTATGAGGGGCTTGATGTCTGAAATCCAGAGCCTGCGTATTACCTGAAAAACATGCACAAGAAGCTAAGAAATTCTGGGCTCTGAGGACTGTTGTGGCCAAGAAGCTCAAACTGAGCCCAGAGGACTTCAACTAGAAAACTCACTCTAGTGTCCCCACTGTCTTATTTTGCTGTGCTTCTGGGTGGAAAGGAGTGCATTTTGGTGCTCTTTTGGCGGAGCCGGCAGTTAGAAAGGCTGACTCAGCCACTCTTGGAGCTCAAGCAATCTGTAATTAGTTCTTAGAGCAGAGCCTCACCTTCCCATCCAAGTATTGGATGGAGTCTGCCTGCGCAGGGATGGCAGGGCAGACTTTCCTCTTTAGGGAACTGTCAACATGAGAAATCTCACTCTCACTCTGCAGCTTGCATAGCTCCCCTCTGGATGAGGCCAGTGGAGAAACCCCAAGTCTGGCCTTCCCTTTTGGCTGAGGCCCTCCTGGCAAGACTCTGAGAGTCTCCTGCTCTATCTTCTTCCTTCTGAGCAGCATCTCCGACATGACCCCCCAGAGTGAGGCAGCTGGTGTTAAAGCAAACATGCATGCTAGATCCCTTTGAGGGAAACCTACGCTGCAATACCGAGGTACTGGACTATGGGCAATATACGGAAGTCAGCTTCCTTTGCATAGAAATATCTGCCAAGTAGTAAATTCCCACCAACGATCAGGTCTCCTGGCCTGTAATAGCCTCTTGGCTGTGGAAAAAGCCGGCTCAGAGCACAGTTGCTCCTCAGCATTGTCTCAGTGCCCTGAGGCAGGAACCAAAGCAGTGAGGCCAGCAAGATCATCAGCATCACTGCCAGAGCAACACGGACAGCAGTCACTCTATAGCCCCAGCCCACCAGGGAACTGGATCT